TGGTTTATATTATTGTACGAGTATGTATTAACCAAGATTAAATTGTAAATTGTTAATGGATTTAACGTAAAATACAATTTTGTACAATCTTATACAGATGTACTGTTGCTCAAAAAAAAGTGTCCTTATAATTTCTTTGCAAAATTAATTAATTTGTTTCTTGAGGCTCTCGTCGATAAAATTCCCTCCCGTTGACGCTCGTTTGCTCGTTCATTTGACTTTCTGGTTAGTTGCATAATACTCAATACGGTGGAAATTGCCCCGTTCATTTCCTTTTGCGTACAAGACTGCCTATCACTCTAATCAGCGTAACAAGATGCGCAAGGGCGCGAGAGTCGTTGGGAAAGTTTACGTTACTTTCGAACACCTCCCCTTGCGAAAAGTTGGCTTTTCAACTACTTTACCTTCTGAACACGTCTTCCGGAACTCGCAGGTGCGACAGGATAGAGAGTTCTTTAGAGAGAGGGCCTAGCCTCGATGGTGATCTTCGTATAAGGATATACGTAACGAAAGAAAGCTTATGAACATTTCTCGCTGGCTGGATCAGTTCTGCGAGTGAAGTTGCGATATTTTTTATTATATTAATGTTCAATAGCTTTGATCGGGATATAAGCTTTGTATACTTGAAGGAACTTGAAGGAAACTTGAAAGAAGACGAGTACTTTTCTTCGTAGGTATTTGGGTATCTGCTAGTTTTCGACGAGAAATAAAGGAAGACTATGTTGGAAGAGATAGAAAATAAAAAAAAAAGTCACAAACGAACAATAAATTATGAGATATCATCTACATTGTGAAATCATTTGGAGAGTGCGAGAATTATAAATAAGGAAAATCATTGGAAGCTTAGTTATACATAGATTTCAATAGATAGTAAGTTTTAGATTTCCTTACAACTTCATACTAATAACTTTGTAATAATTTTTTTGGAATGGAATCTGGGAAAGTTGAAATATATAGTAACCGAACTAACCGAGTAAATTTGAGTTTAGATTCATCAATCAAGAATAAGTGTTGTTTGAAAGAAATTATAAATATAATGACTGAAAGAGTATCAGTAATAATACAATAATTAATTAATTAATAAAAATCTGAGGAAATATTCATTAATCTAGAATTACTTTATTACTATTGATTTTTCTTGTTTTGTCCAACAAACTGCCTAGACAACTTAGTTGAAAACTATTTAGCTTTTTCCGGGGAATTCTCAACTGATTAACTGGCCATTAGCTTTGGATATAGTGTTCCTTCCATTGCAAACTTGGTGTGCTTTTTCTAAAGAAGTAACTGCAATAGCATCTGTCTGTGGGAAAGTTCCCTTCGGACTTGGAATCGTTTGTCAACTGTACGGGGTTCTAAAGATCGTTAAAAACTAATTTCTATCTTGCTCTTGAAAAGCTCTTCGAATATGACACATCTTATCGCGCAGGGTGAAAGAAGTAGAAACTTTAAAATCGAAATTTTCAACTTTTAGCGAGAGAGATAAGAACTATAATATAGTTCTTATCTCTCTCTCTCTCTCTCTCTCTCTCTCTCTAAAATAACATTCTCCATTAGCTCTTTAATAATAACTATCAACACTCTTCGAGTTATTTTATTCTTTAACGAAGAAGAATAAAAATATATTGATAGATGTTCTTCGAAATAAAAAATTTCTAGAGTATGTTCAATCACGAATAAAACTTCGTCTCTCCCTGTTCTCTTTCGAATCGTCAAGAATTTTCAATGTTAACATCGCACTTTCACGTGTAAAATTGTAAGTTGTGTAATCTCGTATCTCCTGTCTTCGAATTTTAAATTTCAAACTTGTCTTTCAAACTTGAAACTTGGAACTTTGAATTTTGAAAGCTCCTCAAGTCCGAAGACTGTTCGATATTACAATGGTTTCCGATAGTTTTCAATGTTTCAACACTTGAATTTATCTCTCGGTTGTGTTTCAAACGCTGTTGGAATATTTATAGCATTCAGATTCTCATAATAGTTTAATGTGTTTTGTTAATTAAAAATCATATATTTTTGAACAGTCATCGTTACACTTCGTACGATAGTTCGAAACGATAGTTCATATAATTTTTACACATCTTTATTGGAATCTTGATTGATGAAATATAATATTTAATGATAATTTTATCTTAAATTCATTGTAAGTGTAGTTTAGGTGAACGGTAGTACTTTTGATTGAATGAAATTTTCATTTCATGCAAAATATCTCGAAATTTCTTGCACTTCGTTCACGCGACACACACGTATATGTTTCTTTTTACTTTGTAACGGAAAGTTTATTTTTTTAATTATATTTCTCGTACTCGTAACAATTTAACCTATTGAAAAATAAAGAAATATATACATCAATTGGAATTCGATCGTTTCAGTTTTCCAATCAAATTTCCTCGAGTTTGAACAATTTTTTCTTAATTTTCGAAAAATATTTCCGACATGCGAGAGAGGTGTATCAATCGATATGTATATTGAAGAATACTGTACGAATAAAATAGAGAACTATTCGAAATGGAGATGAACTCTGTCTGGGCAGATGTAACGTTTCAACTGCTAACGAGCTAAAAGCTTCTAGAGAACTATTCAAACGAACTAGTGTCGTATTTGGCCGACACTACTAAATTAAAAAAACGTTAAGACTGTCACTTTGCAGAATCGTGGCAGATATTATTCCCAGATATTGTTACTTTATCGGAATCAGGAAGAAACTTGACAATCTTTTTTTCTATTTCTAAATTTTTTCTTTACTAGCACG